ACATATCCTATAAGTTCATATTAAAGCGAATTTCTAAGAAGTTGATGTACTCACAACACTTTCTATAAGACAGTCAAGCTCACTTATTTAGTGCAAAAAAGCTAAAGAGGTGTCTATCTTGGAAGTGAAATTTGTATCTATATTGAATACTGCAGCTAGTTTGGTGAACATCGAAGACGAGTTAACACAGCAATGGCAGAATAGAAGAAATTCTCATGAAGTGTACCTAGGCTTCGCATCGAATTTCGTAAGCAATAAGAGGTATGAATGTGTTCGTTTGAAGTTTTTACATTTTACAAATATTTGATTGCAGGTTGCAGCTCTATTTTGCTGATTTGCTGCTGCTTTTATGCCGGAAAAGAAACTTCCAGCTGCTAAAAGCACTAACGCGTTTTCTGACGCATAACCATACTCTTTTGACTAAGGTACATAGTATTCTTAAGTCAGCTGGTTTTTCTAACTATCTATTAAGGTGTGGTCAGATGGAGAACTCTTGTCGACAATTGTTCGAACAGGAGAAATTGAAATAGTGTCAGTTTTGCGGGAAGCTGGTTGTCCTATAAAGTGTAGTCATCTGCACGAATTAGCTACCTGTTATTCTACACCTCTTCTGGATGCGCTTTTGATGGAGAAGGAGTATGCTTTAACTGTATTAGACCAGAATCTGATAATCCAACTCATCCAAGAGAGATGCTGGAGCTATTTGCTTAGGTGAGTTTGAATTATTTATTATGGTTGTCAATTCCAAAATTAAATTTGTATCCTCTTTTCCTGTTTTATCCTCTGAAAACAGATGAAGATCAGTCCTAATGCTCTGAATTTGTTCTTTGCTCTGATAGCAATGTTTGCCATTTCTAGTGATTCTTTCTCTAAAATACTTTTCTCGTCTTCGAAGTTTTCATAGCGTATCAGTTTATTTCGATCTACATAGTTTTCCGTGGTGCAGGTAGAGACCTGCATTTACCTGGCAGGATATTTGAATATAGAAACGAAAATGTATTATCTAAGAGCGTGAACAAACATTTTGCAGTGCGGAAATCTTTCTTCGAGTCTTCTTCCAGCAATTTTCTGGATCAGATTTCCTATTTCTCTTATGCCTGTTTTTGCATTTAGTGAAACTCTAATCGCTTTTCCTACTCTTGCCACACTTTGGCTATTACTCGACCTGATTACTGACCCAAGAGAGCAATCACTGTTTGATTTTCAATGACTTTTTTTGCAGCCTCAATGGTTCATTTTGAAGGACTCACTTAAGCTTAGATTTTCACCTAGTTTATGCTGCAAATCGTGCCATAAATTATATTTTTGGTGGTTCTGGCATTTCAAAACATGTTGCTCTTATAATGCTCTTTCAAAATCCATTCTCTGTAAGAAGAAAAAAAGAAATCATTAACATTCTGGCATCTTCCATTTCCAAAGCTTTGAGAATTACGAATAACAATCATCCTGTCTCAAAATAAGTAATGTATGTATGTCGATACAGCTATATTTCATTTATTCAAACCAGGGTTCTGCCTTGCCGTATCGCCTTTGCATCTTACTAACGTCCCTAGACGATAATGGTCATATTGTTCCTATCTCAAGTTTAGTCGATGCGTCAAAAGACTAATGATGTGGCAGTCAGCGAGTGTTCGAGTAGTGGAATCTAGTCACCTGGTGGCGTATCCTTATCCTCATAACTTTTGACGATCCCATCTAGAAAAAATTTTATTCCCCTACCTGCAAGTAAAAATTGCGAGTAGTGAACTATAGGATCAATGTTGTTATTATTCTTTTGGACGTTGTTGTACTAGTGGACTGAGTTGAAAGCGATGCCAGTTTTCATTGGAAGTTTCTTTTTTGATTCAACTTCAAGAATTTTTTTTTCTTCGCAGCTATGTGACATTCGTTTTGGGTATTTTTTTTT